CCCCTTCAATCAGACTAACGTTACGAGAAATTGAAAAGAGGAGGCGCCTCCCCACTCGGTGTTGGTTTTAGAAATGTTCGAAGAGTTGGCCCCGATGGTGCTGCTGTCGTCGGGATAGTTGGTGCCACTGGGGCTTCGACTACCTTACGTGGTCGTCCCGGCCCTCTTCTGAGTCCTTCAGCCTTTTTACTGGTGACCAAAGTAAATCCCTGATCATCAGTTGGTCTGACTGTTTGTGTTGGCGCCACCGTAGGCTTTTCGTTCCATATCTCCGCCGTTCTTGACAAAAGCTCCATCCGAGCCTTCTCCACACTTCCCTTGTAGACCTGGTAGGTCCGAAACGCTGCTTTCTGCCACGAACGGTGCTCCTGACCGCAGTTCGCACAAGAAACCCTTTTCCTCAGACAGTCCCGAGTTTGGTGAGCGCCAGCGCACTCACCGCACCTGGCTGCCTTTCCACACGACGCCTGTGTGTATCCCCACTGACTACAGTTGTAACACTGCTTTTGCTGGGACCGTGGTGACCACACCTGCGCTATAAAGAGCATGGCGTTAATTATCAGGTCCTGTCGAACTACCTCCATTTGCATTACCTCCGATGGGAGGCTTACCACAATTGATCCGCAATTGTGACCGTTTTTCTTCGATCGCTGATGTTCCTTTCCGTCATGGAGCCATCGTATTCTACTTATTACTAGGCCTGGAATCCGTGCCTTCGTAGCTGTCTCAATATCCCTGATGATAGCAAAATTGTTGGCATCTCTGCCCCATTCAATTCGTGTCGGCAATGGGATACCGTTAACCTCGACTGGAAAGTCTTGCCGCAGAATTTTGAATTCCGTTTGTTGTCGCATATTTAGCGCCGCGTCTCTCTGGAACGCCTAGTTTTTTTCAGGTAGATCCTAGAAGTCCTCCATAGTCATAGACTCAGACAGGACTATAATAAAAAATCTAATCTAATCTCTGGGACGCCGACTGGACGAATACCTCGGTATCATTGCTCCGCAATTGACGAATTGCGTATGCTCCTTGTATGTGCTCTTTTTACTTTGAAAGCAGCTCTTGTGACTGCAAGTTTTGAGCGCCGTCGATTCTTGTTCGTACCACTGTTTTTTTCATTTGGGGAGCCACGACCAACGCGTAACTCCTTGGTGTCGTCGCGCCCGAAACCACTTCTGGAGCAGCTTCCGGAGCGGGATCCGCGAGGCTTTTCTTTACGACTTCCTCTAAAACCATCGTCCTCTCCTCGATAGCAAACTTCTTCTGGGATATTTCCTTCCAAGCCCTTTTGTGCGCGTCGAAGGCCTTCACGGCCTCGTTCACGTCCTCCATTGAGGGTAGGTCCTCCTGATCCATCTCTCCCATCACGATTAGTCTAACCTGTTTTAGTAGTTTCCCCACGATTTCGAGGTTTCTATCTTTTGGAGCTGTCTACGCTCCGCTGTCGTTGTTTGTTGAGAACATTGTCGTATTTTGCGACGCGTCGAAACCGCTGGATTTACCTACAACAGCACCCACACTTGGCATGTTGGATCACGGAAAGCGAAAAGATGGGACGAGTGTAATGAAGATGAAATAATGATGATCACGATAACAAATTGAACATACGGGCAACGTGGAAGGCTGCGCAGCCTTCTAGCGAAATTAATGTTTTTAATTTTTGATTTGATTTGTGTCCATTATCCTGATTTGGAGCCCTATGCGCCCATGCAGGTGGCTATAAACCTATCTATATATTTACATAGAAGGAAACCTCTCGGTGAAAACCCCTCAAGCTTTCTGATTTAATTCTAATAGTTTGCAGTTTATCCTTCAGGAAGTACAGTTACACTGTAACGCCGTCAATGTGTACCAATCACGTCCTTTCTATCGACCCCAACCTTCTACATGTTCCGTCTCGTTTCCTGAGCAGCATTTCGACTGCATTTGTCAAGCGGAATTGTTCTATCCAACCATGATTAAGAATCCATCGTGTGATTCTTTTCATATCGCTAGGATTGTTGATCATTGATTCAAAGGAGCAATTTCGGGCTTGTCTCCAGATTTCTCCTCTACCAATTGACCACTTAGGACAGGACATGGTCTTGTGCTTGGGATTTTGTGATTGGTAGCCACACGGACAGCATGGATTGTAGATTCCTGGTATTTTCCTTCTGTGCAATTACGAATTGAGCCCGATATGCTCGCTTCGAATTTGGATTGCTAAGCTTCTTTGGGCCCTTGTCAGGTTTTTGTGGAGTGAAAATGGCGTCTCCCGGAAGCTTATTTTTGTACGTCCAGAGTGGCGGCACTGGTAAAACTTTGCTGCTGCCCAAGTTTGAGGATCTGCTGAACTAAATCTTTTAGGCTGTCGAGTTCGCTTTGTAGCTGACCAAGATTTCGCCCGTTCTAGGTACGCTGCAACTCTTATCGCTTCTTTTTGTAAGTCCTTGGATTTCTCCTCTCCGCAAATCTCTTTCCAGTATGCAAGGTCTGCTCTCCTATTATGTGCTCTAATATCTTCTCTTCCTCTTCTAGGAAGTCTTATTTTAGCACATGCTGATTGAATAGTCTTTTGAACTGGTAGAGAATTTGAGCGGCTTACATACTTAATGTTTTTAATTAATAGTGTCACAACACCAGTTTGGGATGTACTTGACTTAGGAGAAGGCGACACTATAAACACCACTATGGTTGGATGGTGCGGTGGTATATCGCCTAGGCCGGTCTGCCAGGTAGAGTCTGGATAGCTTGGACACATATCTCACTCGAGACAGTTGATCGCTCGTTCAAGTCCAGCAAAACACACCCGCTTTTCTGGCGGCGCTGGTATGCATGGATGACCAAAGGTTTCGAAATTCCCTTTCGTGGGTACTCACAGAGGAGGGTCGACTGATTGTGTAAGCAAACATACCTCATAGTGGTATTTGCGAATGAAATCCAGAGTATGACTGTCTCTAACGTCAAAAGAGTCATCCAACATGTATGCATAGCACCGGTCATGTGTCATAGCTAGATAGCTGAATAGACATTAAATGATTTAAAAAAAATGAGTGAGGAGAGATACTCATATGTTGATAGTTAGTTAGTCACGTATATTGGTGCAGCTTGGTGTGTCGCCCTTAAGGCTGATACGCCTGTATCTATGAAGAAAAAGAAGCAGAATCACTACATCATCGAGGGACCCATTGCGTACGCGTACACGTGTATCTTACCAACCAACAAATAGGTTAATATCCAATATAAATGTTGCAAATATATTCTAGTTGGTCCTGTAGGTCAAGCCCAAAACTTCATGTGATAGTTATTCGATATAACGATAAAATGGCGCCAGCGACACCGATATGTCGAACATCGTTCATTTGCTATATTTACTATGAGAACGTAATGCGTGCGCGAAGAAAATATCGTTATAACGAGTCTGCACTGTATATAGTCACCTCCCTCAGCTGCTGGGGAAAAATCACAATCTAAGAACCAGCCATGTCGTTGCAGCAAGCTTGTGGTTTCACAATTCCGTAGGAGAGTTCCGACTGTGTCAACTGGTTTCATTGCCCAATATTTCTCTCATCTTCACTGACAAGTTTTGGTTTTTCAGCAGTCGTTGCTTCGAAGAAAGCCTGGATTAGCTTCCCTCGATAATTCCCTATCAAAAGTATTGCTCGAAAGGGTCGCAGGTTGCGAGGTCGTGCCGTGGCCAGTACCACATTTGATAGTAACTTTCATACTGTTTTTTGTATTGAGGCGGGTGGGATTTTTTGTTAATTATAACGTATTCACTTGTTGATCTATGGCAATTAATTCTAATTTGAAGTTACCCAAAAAGACTCGACCCATCACTATCCAACCATGTCCAATATTTCTGTGTCTAATTTATATCATTTGAGTTCTGACATATACTTGGATGTATTCAAAAAATTTAGAAGGGACTCTTTCCCTTCTTTTTGTCCTCAATAAAATTGGCAATGTCAGTGACTGTATGTCAACAAATACCAAGATTCCCTGATTTCGAAAATTTGGGCAGTAAAGCAACAAATGCTATGTTAACTGATTATTTGCACTGCAGAAATAGCAACTTTTATCCGTTACTTTTATAATTATGTGGAGTTAAGCTCTTGTATTCTCAATGATAGTTCTGGCCTCGATTCGGGGGTGAGATTTTGAGCTTAAAACAATAACGCGTGAGATGGTCTTGATTTATATAATCGAGAAATCTCTGCCAGGCGGAAGCTCCGATCAAAATCAGCCCAGTACCACCTCTTTTGATAACAATATCAGTGAGGAAAAAAATATTATCAAGCGTTGGTGATGACGGAATCATGGCTCTAATGTAGCACGGTACTCCCCAATTCGTCGAAGAAAACGCAGACAGGTGTTCGGTCTTTGCCCTCAGTATGGATTTGACTGCTGGATTGGTTTGAGTTCGGTGCCAAGTAAGTCAATATGATCTAGATTTCATTTGCGAGCACAACTATGAAATATCTTCGCTCACACAAACAGTCGTCCCTCCTCCGTAAGCACCTAACAAAGGGAAATTCAAAACCTTTGATTATCCTAGAATACCTTCGTTATGTTTCTATCTTCAAATCGACACCTATTGATTTACACCAGCATCTTTGCATTCCACTGAGAATCCCCCTGAGCATGTCGCAGCCAGAGCTAGTTCTACACTAAGTGACCTGTAGCATTTTCCCCACAGCATACCTTCAATGAAATTTCGGCCCTAGTCGGGAGTGATCATGTGACACTCGGGAAATTCTGGATTCAAAAGCTAAGCGAGCGTAACCAATTTCGTCTAAGATCGTGGGCCACAATAAGTATTTAGTTTAACGAAGTTTCTGTACTCCGCGTTTTCAGTACCAGGAAACAGCTTCAAAATGGCAAGTAAGTTACAATCATTCTTGTGATCCTGTTTATGTGGATTTGATATCAAATACAACGCTCTACTCACACTATAATCCCCAATCTGCCGGGAACATAATTTTCTACTTTCTTATATCCTCTAATATGCTAATTATTGTACAGAAAGTAAAAACAGTAGTCAGCATAATCAAGTCAGTGCCCAAAAATCCCCAAAGTACTCTTAAACAACATGTCACTGACAGACGTTCAACTTGTGCTTATAGAGCAAAAAAGCACACCGAAACGGGTATTAAATTTAACACGAGCGCATTATAAACTCTAAACGTTATGCAGGATTAAAAAACCAAAAACCTCGAGGTATCCATCACTGAAAGGCACAGATCCTAAGTTCAGGAGAAATCATCGACACGCTTTACATGGAACAATGAAGGCCCTGGTAAGAGTCGTAAACTTACAGCTTATTCCAGAACATTCCTAATCATTTCACAGAAAGAACAAAAGGATAAAAAGGGAGAAGACGCATGATTATGAATTTTCTATCTGATTAATGAGTAAAAGAATGCGTGCTGGCGAAGACACTAATATTAAAACCTGTCCCAATAGACTTGGATGAAAACTAGGTCTTGAACCCATTCTATTACAACCTGCCACCGAACTGCCCTTTCAGTCACTGAAACATCCGTATCCCGTGGTGAAATAATAATCAAATCTCGTTTGGCATTTGTGTGTACAGCTTTATAGAATCTATTCAACATCTTAAAGCTGAAGGATTTTATCTTCGTGCCTAAATCAAATTTCAGACCCCATCATTACCAAACACTGCCTCTCAATATCTCTATGAGACTCAAGTGCATGAAGATGGGATTACAAGCAGGATAATAAGTTAGAGTAGAAATTGATCCAGTTGCAAGCTACAAATTGTCAGATTATACGTACCAATTTTTATGACACCTGTGATACAAATTAACTATGCTGTAAAACGTATTATTTACAGGGTTATCCCAAATTTTATTTCTATTCTAGGAAATTATTTGGCGTATTAGTCGCTGATACGCCGCGATTCGCAGCATCCCTTCCAAAGAGGGAAGAGCTTGAAATGTATAATCTTGATCGACCCCCTCCCCTAACTAAAGTTCCGTCCACGAATTGCGCTTTACACATATCCAACGCTGGGCGCAACACCTGTCTCTTCAGCTGTGAGCAACTCGACAATGTATTCTGTATTTGGCTGACTCGCTATCGATAAATCTAGATATTCCTTGGCAGCAGGCACTGCTTCAGAGGACCCTTGGATCTCTAGCCAAACACACAACGTGAACAAGAGGGGGCTAACTCCTGCCGGCTGTATACGTTGCATCTGAGTATCTCTTACTCTGAAGGTATAAGATTGGGGTTTCTCAACCAGGCTGTTGCGAAACACTTGATTCACGGACCTCTAGTCGGCCAAGGTGTGCATTTGACGTGCTTTGACGAACTGTGTTGACTCTGATTCCACTCTCTACGTTCAGAGTTTGTCTCAATTTCACAAACGAAACCTTTTTCTAGCCTCTTAAGCTTTAGTCTTATCATGCTCAACATGTCGGCCGTTGGCAATCGAAATAGTACGCCGGTTGAGTCGAACAGTACATCTTCACTTCGACCACCCACATCTCGTACTCTCAGTTCCGGTCATCACCTTCGAGCTTCTGCGGATATGACTGCCTTTCCAACCTCTCCATCCGCAAATCGAATTCGACCATCCTCCGACTTTTACGGAACCCAAATTGTTCAAGGTCAAGGAGGATTAGAGAACGATGCATCCGACAAAATTGCCCAGCAATGGATTGCTGACATAGATCAATATGAGACAACTCTAGAAGAGATGGCAGCCGCAACACTTGACCAGGACTTTAAGGACGAACTCAGTGCAATAGAGCAATGGTTCAGAGTTCTGAGCGAAGCTGAGCGAACGGCTGCATTGTATGCACTCCTGCAACAAACAACGCAAATACAGATTCGATTCTTCATTCAAGTCTTACAACAAATGGGTAAAAACCACCCAGTTTCAGGTGTATTGTCTCCTGCAAACTTTGATAAAGGTTTGTTGATCAAAAGACATTGATGAGATTGTTAACTTTTTATGTAGACCCCATGTCTAATCGTCACAGTGACGCGATGAGCAGAAATAATGTTGATGGATCTAAAAATCCAATGGCGCGCCCTCCACCAACACCATCTGGAAAACGACAATTTGGCCTTGATGCATCAACGATCAATGCAATGTTTCCCAATGCTGCGGCTGCAATTGCGACAGAAAAAGCCAAGTTCACACAACAAACAGGAAATTCAGCTTCATCAAATCGCAACAGCGCCGTTTACGATAGCCGTGTCAATCTCACGGCCCCTTCTATCTCGGGGCCGAACGAATCTACAGAAATAACTAGTTCGTCTCCATGGGCATCACGTGGAAAAGACCAAAGTAATGGGAGACCGAAGTCGTCGTCTGGTCAGCCGCCAATGGGACAGTTTATGCAGTCACACCCTTCTGCTGGATTACGTTCCCCTGCTACCCAAATAACAAATGGTGCCAATTTACAAAACACAACTATTTTGACTGCAGAGAATCACAATGGGGATATGCCCTTACTCTCACCATATAACGGCAACGGAAACTGGGCATCTATGGTCAGCACACCAATGGTTTCATCGTTCAATAATGCTGGAAGTAGTACCCAGGCGGATATGGTTGCAAACGCTACCGCCATGAAGCTTGCAGCTTTATCCACGGTCAACAATCGTTTTGCTCTTGATGATGTAAAAAAATACCGTCGTGCTAGGTCAAATGACGGTCAAGGACAAGTTCAAAGCTCAATTTCCGCAGGACTCTCTAATTCCAAGATGCCTAGTGCAAATCTTATTATGGTCAATGAACATGGCCGGGTCCTAACCAGAGATCAAGTAATAAACATGCAAGCACAACAGAACTCACAGTTTCTGGGTGGTAGATCACGGCCAAATTCTCCAGGATTAGCTATGCAAGGAAGCGGAGGTTTTGGTCCCATGCAAACCTCCTCACCTATGAATAATGGATTCCTTGCTGCACGCGATGGATCATCCCCAGCTATCAATACCGGATTAAGCAATGGAATGGCAAATATGAACCTAAGTATGGGACAGATTGCCTTCAGAGGACATGAAGGCTACCTCTCTGATCACAGTGATATGGTTCGAGGTCGTTCTCCACGTGGTAAACGTGGTAGCTCAAAGCCTCCAGAGGATCCAACTGACCCTTTTCTCCTTCAAGATATTCCCAGTTGGCTGAGAAGTCTCAGGCTTCACAAATACACAGAGAACCTTAAGGACATGAAGTGGACAGAGCTTATCGAGCTAGATGACAAAGCTCTGGAGGATCGTGGGGTTAATGCGCTAGGGGCTCGCAGGAAAATGCTCAAAGTCTTTGATCAGGTTAAAGGTAAATTACTACAGTCACTTGTTCGGCACAGCTAACAACTTTTATCAGAGGCTAGAGCAGAAGGCAAGTTATCATGAATTTACACAGATTACTAATGTGGATACTTCAAATTTCTACCTAGCTAGAAACTAGTTATAAATGGGCAAAATACTGGTCGCTGCGTAGCTGGCCTTACGAAGAGTTATTGAATTGTTTCTATATCTACTGGTTGGCTATCGTGTAATTTCTCTCTTGGTATACATCTTGACATTAATATACCACTTAATTCCACTCTAAGTCCTATTTACGGCGACAATCTAAGCTGAAAGTCAAATAAGAAAAATTCTGTGGAAAACCCTGCGAATCTTGTGTTCGATGATCACGGTCACAGCAAAGAGATGGCCTCTCGATTTTCATCGGTGTATCTGAGAACCTAGAACTTGGGAATTTATTGCGATTTAATCCGATATTCTGGAGGGTATCCTACTCAAGCTTGGGTATTCACAAGCTTTTGCTGAGTCATATATAACACTTGAACAACTCACTTGATACTTTGTGCCGGAGCTCTAGAATTGATACGGTGTGTCTTCGATCTAGAGTATTGCGGAAGAATAGATGGTTACTTACTATGTGCGTTGTTCATTTAATCTGACCATGAAAATGCTGCTACTTCCCAGTTCCTGTTTTACGTGAAATTTCATTATGTAGTATGAGTCTCTAATTCTGATGTCCATTATATCTCATTGTGACGGGATTTTCTAGCGAAACCGCTAGCCCATAGTGACTATTTTGCCTCTGTCCAGAAATAAGATGATTTGTTGGGGCAAATGAAAGCTGCGAGAGGATCTTTGATAGTCGATTGACCAAGACGTGGGCTTCTGAAGCTGCATGATTTAGCTTCACTATTGCATCGATTCTGTCGGACATTGCGCTGACATTTTGGCCTTCTCACATCGGCTTTTTTATAAATCTTTGAGTTTTATTATTCTATATGTCTGGGATAAATGATTGGGATGAATTTTGTGTAATAATTTATTTTTTAAAATTAGTTACACTCACACGCAGCACTTCATTTTCTGGTATGGACGCAAGTTACTCTTGCTCATGAAGGATCAGAAACCTTTATTTAGCATCAACTGATTGAAGTAACCTCCAATTCATTTGTACTTCTAAGGCTTCGATCATCCGGCACTTCCTCGCGAAATATGACAGGGTCTGGCTGGGGTTGAATTAGTCATGTCCCTCATTTAGTTGGGTATGTGACAAGGTTAGCATGACTGTACTTCAAGGTACAGCCGGGACACCTCATCAACTTATTTGCTACGGGTATCTGTGTAGATGGTTAAGTGTTTAGCGAAAGGTGCTGGCCCCCTGATTAGAAGCGCTAGGGGCGAGGATTTGACCAACAGCTCGGACTGGCAGCCAAGTTTATGGAGCACAAGTACCTGACATCGTGATGAGTATGGCCAGATTTAGGACGTCTTGCAACCGGATAGAGGCAAAGATTGTGACAAGAATTGTAAATTTGATGTATTATGCATCTAGCCTAGACATGTAGCGGCTGGTTAGTTAGCTGTGTGCAGCCCGAATGCCCTTTTCGTAATCATTCAGTCTCAATGCCAATGCCTTGCATCACGCACGCACGCTACTACCACAAAGAAATGGTATCAGTTCAAGCTGTTGTCAAGAATTTCAATGCACTCAAAGTAACCGACACCTGCCTCGAACAAGATGTATCTCTGATCTACACCACCTCTCCCTGGTCGTTCATCACTTCGGTAACTCGTACAGTGCTACCTCTCTCCGTTACCAATTCTTCTGTTGCCGATCGAGAACTATGTTGGATATCATATTCAAGCCTGCAAGGCAAGTTGATTCACACTCAGCTTTAGGTAGATCATTCGTTGGCGAAGTGTGAACGTCATATCTTGTCGGCACATCGCAAAGAATACCTCTGAGACTTTACGTATTGAAGCTAAGTGGTAGTGTCACCCTTTCATGACAACAGTTGCGAGAAGGTCAAGGCTCAATCTGAAACTAGACTGAAAATATTACTGATCCTGACAGATTTAAAATTACAGCGCTCCAGGGTTCCCCATGACGACAATTCATATTTGTGCTAGGCTGAAAATAACGTCACCCTCTGTATCGATTTAGATCAAGGCAAGTGAAGATCACTTGTCAATCGGCCTTCCTACACCAAGAAATACCAATCGGAAGCCATTCCAAGCAATGGGCTAAGCTTGCTGGTACCACTTCTTGGGCCTGCCGCGGTGACTCCAGCCACCAGGGGAAAACTGTAAATTATTTTGACAACCCCAGCTTGTCGGCTCATCTTTCCTACCGAAGGAATTTGCGAACTATAGCAGGGGATGACAGTAACTTAACACCTATACGGGAGAATCCAGCGGATCTGGGGCTTAAACATCACTCTCTATTTTACTAATATTTTACGCCCAACAAGCCTAATCGCCGCCCAAGAATTGTACAGTCTGACTACATGACCTAGTGTATCCTGAACTCTACGAGCAAAACTCTCGTCAGCTGAACCTCCAGTATCAAATGGTCTTCGTATACACGCTCACAAGATTGTGACTACCCGAAAGTGACAGCTTAAACATGCTTTTGGCAAAATAGAGCAGTAGTATATCATACGAAACAATCTCTCAACGAGAATCGGCATTGTCAAGGCATCTATTCTTCATATGATTTATTGTATACTCAGCTACCAAGCTATTACATACAATCAGTGCAACAAGCACATGAAGGATGACTCTATCGACGTTGGGGGCACTCATACTCTGAGTTTCATTCGCAAATACCACTGGGGTATTTTTGATTACGCAAAATACTCGACCCTCGGTGAGCACACGCCATGGGGAAGTTTGACCCCCTTGATTACTTAGGCATACCTTCGTCATTTATGCACACGAGCACTGCGAAAAATGCGATTCAGTCTTGCTTGCTCCGAAACAGTGATCTCCTGTCTCAAATGGGATAGGTATTCAAGCTGTCCATATTCTATTAGGGATCAGTCTAAATGTTGTACCGCTCATCAGACTAAATTGGTGTATACAAGGTCGAGTTTATTCCCGCAAACATAGTCATGTGTCGCACTACGCGCAACGCTCAGCCTGAAATTCTTCTATTCGAAAATCATAATCTCCCTCCTAACTGGATTAAACCTACCACTTGTACCATTTTAACTATCCATGTTGTGGTTATGAGCTAAGGGCTGTATGAAAATTTTGCGGCTTTGCTATATTTTAGCATAATTGCACGTCCTCATGAGGTTCCGAGCGCGCGTTGTATACTTAGTATACAATGGGTGTGGGTGTAAGATTGGGGTGATATCACGTGGTGTCTCGTGGCTCCTAACTACAACGGAATGTATAGAGCTTGAGACTAATACGTGAAGTCTGCATCCTTTAAGCGTAGGATATCTCTACGCCTATATACATCAATCCCTCCTTACCCCTCAATGCTGAAGTGATCTATCATTATGATTATGTAATGTTATTGTGCGACTTCCCATAACCCTGTAAGTCTTTTCCGGATCCACACTCATGTGCAGAGGTGAGTCGCGGAGATAGCGCGCTTACGCTCGGTTGACGGCACGATGGAAATTGAGTGCGTATCGTTGTGGCCGAAAGTGTTAGCAACTACCAAACATGTAGTGCTATTAACGATGTTCATTTACAGAGGAGATGTTTAATGCGCGCTCCAATGGTTGATGATATCACCCAATGCATGACAAGAAATGAAACTATTACGATAGAAATCCTGCAAACAGCGAATCATTAGATTCGATTGTAAATGAAATGAGTCAGCGCACAGCCTATCTCTCCTGATACAGACGCCCACCCTCCTCCCTTCTCCCAAACATATCAATCGACCCGACACAGCAATCTATCCTGTAACATCTCAAACCAATACAGAAATTTTGCCTTTCAGAATTCTGCGCCATGAATCGACTTGTTAAGTTTTAAATATCAGCGAGGTCTTGTTTTTGGAGGTCACCATGTTGGAAATATCGCGCAACGAAATGGGCGCAATATTCATAGAACGAAAGTAAAAGTTGACTATAAGATTGTCATGTTCGGATTAAAGCTGAAAGCATGGAAAGTGTGCGCTACAAGTACAAGTGTAAGCAACAGGTGGGAAAGACTGAACACCTGAACGCGGTGTCCTCTACGAACCTGCGAGTAAAATATTCTCCCAGAGCCAAGTTCAGTCAAATTTCGTAATATCAAAGAAGTTGGCCCACGAGGCAAAATTTCAAATTACTCCACCATGTCAATCTTTCACTCCCAAAGAGTCCGATTCTCAACTAAGCTTCACCAAGTTTTCAGGTACTACCTAGTACATCCTCATTCCAATGACCACACCTCTCTTCGACTCCCTCCGGCGTCAGCCGGTCACCAAATACACGCCCACGCCGATATTTATACTCGCCGAAGGAAGGAAATTGTGGCACACAAATCTGGGAGGCAGTTCTTTGGAATGGACGTGAGAGCGATCAGGACAAGTTGACAAGATGATGCAAAGGAAGAGTACAATCTCGACGGGTGTGAAATTTTGAATTTTGGCAAGGAGTTTTACGAATTGAGCTTTGTGCGTGCCAAGAGTTCGGTCGGGAGAGGGCAGCCGACACTATAAACACAAGCAACCGATGGAAGGTGTTGTGGTCCGCCTTCTGGTGACGTTCTATGGTATAGTTTGAGTAGCCTGGGTACCTACTTCACTTGGGAAGGAGACGCCTAAGACCATATTTCGCGCGGAGAAAAGTTGAAAGATGATGGAGGCATGTCTGGATAACTCAGGGTTTTTAGACGTGCTTCTGAGTGGGTATTCACGGATGAGGGTTGACTTGGGGTGAAGAAAAAGCTACCATAACCTCGTAGTGGTACTTGCAAATGAAATCTGAGGCATGAGTGCTCCCCTTGTAAATTGAGTCATCTTTTCTGTACTTTTCTTTGATAATGTGTCATAGCTAGATAGCTGCATACGCAATTAATCTGAAAAAAAGAGGCATTGAATGAAGAGGGTAACTCCTGGATTAGACAAGGTAGTTTTGAGGTTGAGGGGTAGGCTAAAA